GTCCTTTATCATGTTCATCTTTGCACAAAATGTTCCTCTAATATCAACAACGTGTAGCCTGCATAATTAAAATTATAAATAACCCAGGGAGTGCTTTAAGTGCTATGGGGTGGTATATAAGCAGCACACTTTTATATTTCACCATTCAAGTAGGTCTAAGAGTGACCAAGCTGGGAAGCTTTCTGTAAACCATTCCTTTCTCTTCTCTGTCCTTGTGGGAAAGAAACTGTAATGCTACCCAGGCTGGAACCTCTTACAGAATATGGTGTGTACTTTTCCTCTCAAGAGCTCGAGGTGGCATAAACAGCTTCTTCATTGTACACTTTATCCTTATACAGTGGTGCCTCGCTTAATGAGTGCTTCATTTAACAATGAATTCGCTTAGCAATGACTTCCCCGGAGCAATCTTGCGCTCCGTTTAACGATGTTCCCTATGGGTGATTTTCGCATAGCAATGTTTGGGACCATGCTTCGCATAGCGATGACAGTTTGGGTCCCCCTGTTTCGCTTAACGATGTTTTTGACAGCCTCATGTTGGCTGTTTTTTATATGTTTAAAATATTTAAAAAATGTTTAGAATGCTTGAAATCATAAGTGCACTTAATAAACTAATTTGACTTTGTTCTGACTCTTTTTAAATTAGTTGTAATTTTTTCCCCCAATTGGGGAACCGTGTTTCGCTTAGCGATGTTTCCTATGGCGATTTTCGCTTAAGGATGGCAATCCGTTCCCATTGGAACGGATTATCCGGTTTTCAATGCATTTCTATGGAAACCGCGTTTCGCTTAGTGATGTTTTCCCATAGCGACGATTTTTTTTGGAACCAATTAAAATCGTTAAGCGAGGCACCACTGTAATAAGAACCTTGTAAGTTAGGTTAGGCTAAGAGACTGGCTTTGGCTGACCCAACAAGTTTATAGGCCTAAGTGGAGTTTGACACTTTAGCCAAAGTTAATTCCACATTCTAACTGTTTCTACACACCACCAGCTCTTTATGTGTAATTAATCCTGTGATGGAGGTTGAACGTGGACATTTAATCAGCCTTTAAAAAAATATATTTCTCAATGGACATTTAGTATACATTCTTCACAGCTCTATTTCATGTGTCCTTTAACAGCAAAATAAATAAATAAGAATATATTTTAAGGAAGACATGCCTATCTCACAGCTATGCCTTACTATTTCAGAAAATAATTTCTTATACCTGTCCTCTTTTTTCTTTTGCTTCCTTTTTAAAATGGATGCCTATTATATATATTTTTAAAGACTGCAAGGAATTTGATGCATTTGTGTCCCATGCAACACCAAATTCTCTTGGAGCACATCATGCGCTGTTTGAAGAGGAGCAGTTTGCCTTAGAGTATCTCCCTCAGGTTTTAGAGAATGAATACGGATATAAGCTGTGCCTCATGGAGAGGAACATCCTGCCTGGAGGAGGTAAGGTCTTATATGGCTGCACACTAATAGACCTTATAAATCTTTCTTTTAGCCCTCCACTAATAGAAAAACTGACCAACACAAAAAGTATTTGCATTAAATGTACAGAAGAAAACATATCAAATAAATTACCTGGCTTAAATTAAAACACTTGAAAGATAAAATAAAAATAGTCACATATATGTTATTGGGAGTCAGTAACACCCCACAGTATAAGCTGTGAAAATGCATAGAAATTGCAGTGTGGGGTTTAACAAACTCTGTAACACACACAAAAAAGCACACAGCTCTATTGTATCATTGCAATAATCATGAATTGTACATTAGTGATAAGAAGAAAATAACTGCACAAACCTTTCAAATATATTACAGTCTCCCCGAGCAGCCTATGCAGAATCCTCACATTTCACTCATTTGTGAGTAGCAAATCACATTGTTGTGATTTTTCTGCCATTATGTTAGCCAAAGAGATGACACTGTGACGTTCACCCTCGTGCCCCTTGCTTGACCATCAAGCCTCAGAGCACACGAAGGCAAACACTCTTCTCTTTTCACTGCTGCCACCAGGTGATCACTAATCACCATTACCTCAGAAAGATTCAGGTCCACACTTCAAGTTCCTTTAAATAAAACTTTGGTTTACTGATTACAGAGATTGATTCATGAATATCTTCAGTAACTAATCACACCTCAGAATTTCCCAAACTACACACTCTTATTCCTCTCTCTGACTTTTTTCTCTACTCCCTGACTCTTACATTTCTCTTACTTACTCAATCTACCTCTTGACTCTCTGACTCCCCCTCTTACAGCATCTCTCTCGGCTCTGCCTCTCAGCAACATTAATATGCATGAATCATTCCATCACATAACAACCATGAACCATTACATAATATAACATGAACCACAGACCTAATAAATAGAGAACTCTACAGACACCTTCTCCTTTTTTCATGTGAGCAGCAGCAGTCCCTCTTAGTTTTGTTGTGCCTGTTCATCCTCCATGCAATATGGCTATATGTCTAGAATTTGGCTAGGGGTTTCAATGTAGCTATGCTTCGAGCTCATGTAGAGCTACATTTGCTGGGAAGAGATAATATGTGGGGCATGCATGTAATCATGGGTCATGCCATCAGAGTTTCCAAACAATAAAGCCAGTGTCCTGTATATTTAAAAAGCACACCACTGACCACCTTTTGCTCTTATAGTTTAAGCTAAAAGCTACCCAGAACACTATCTGTTGTGGGGACAGCAATTCAAACAAAAGCCTGCTTTGTACTTTATGTGGAGACCATGCGGTGGCCTTTAGTTTTGCAGTGCCAGTAGAATGACCTTAGGCTTGGTTTGCTGCAAGTGCAACATCTTTATGGCTTCAGAAAAGGGCAGCCATCACCCCAGCCTGTTGTGGATATAGTACAATCCAGGCCAGAGCTTGAGAAATTGAGAAAATACATTTTGGGAACTGTATTTTGAACAAGTAATTTTTCCAAGCTAAGAATATTCAGGAGATGTTTTTATAATAAACTGATTAGCTGATTTGTTTTAAAATTAAATGTCAAATTCTGTTATGTTATTCCCACCTTTACTGGTTAAATTTTTTATTCTGAAAATCTGCATTTCTATGCATTGTCTACTTAGGATGATGATGTGGCTCATATATCTCAAAATAAATACATTAAATATGTTATTAATAATGGTTTCTTTTCTCAGCATACACTGATGACATCGTAAATGCTATCAAAAGCAGCAGACGGGCAATAATGATCTTAACCCCGAGCTATTTCAAAAACAGAGAAAGCATCTTTGAGCTCGAAGCAGCCGTCAACACTGCACTGGAAGATAAGACCTTAAAACTTATCCTGATTCAGTTTGAGTCTTTTCAGGAGCCGCAGTCATTACCTAGCAAGGTGAAGACTGCTCTCAGGATTTTGCCCAGGATTAATTGGAAAACATCCACCTCTCCTACTGCTAATAAGCAGTTCTGGAAAAAACTGCAGTATCATATGCCAGTGAAACATACCAAAGAAGCTGGGAGCAAGTGGCTTTTCTTTTCCTCCAGCTCCTACTGGCCATGGAGCAAGGATAACCAAGAAGGCACCAGAGGGAGAAATACAGAGAAAGATTTGGGAAGAAATTCCCCTAAAGTGGAGACTTATCAGGGGAGGGGATGCAGCTAAGTCATCCTTTATATACAGAAGTTGTTCAGTCTATAGCAGGTGATTGGAAAGCAGGGCTGAGAAGGATGTCCTGAAGCCAGGAGCAGCTGCTGAGTAGACCCAAGGTGGGCCTGCAGAGATACCAGAGGCCATTTCCTACCAACCTCAGTGGGCCTTACCAGCTGGAAGTGGTCTTTTAGTCACTTCCAGTTTTTCTTTCCTTCTTTTTGCCAAAACAAGTTGAACAGGGTTGCTTTAACAGGAGAAGCAGGGATGGGGACTCTAGTCATGGGACTCGCTGTCCTTTTTTTAATGACAGACTCAACTCACAATTTGGAACCCACCTGCTCTTCCCTTTTTTCCCCTGAGGAAAAAGGACTTGACTCAAGTTTTTTTTTCAATGACAGACTCAGCTCACAATTTGGAATGCACCTGCTCTTCCCCCTGAGGAAAAAAAGCTAATTTTTAACAGGGACTCAGATCTGGGACTTGGGACCAAAGAGTTGGAGTTGGACTTGGGATGCGTACCCAAAGACTTGCCAACATCCCTGCCTGGAAGCTTCGGGAGGCATAACCCTTCATTTCTTCCCCTCTTTTTGTTTATGTTTTGTGATCCAGCAGCCTGGGGATGTACCAGAGAAATGGCCACTCCTGGCATAGAGATTAGCAGGATGGATAGCCTCATGGCCTTGTTCAGTGTACAGAAGGATCAAATGTTAAGATCTGGTCATCTCTCATGTATTAAAAGAAATATGAGAATACTCTAAAAAATCAACTATTCTTAAATCCCCTCTTTTTGTTTATGTTTTGTGATCCAGCAGCCTGGGGATGTACCAGAGAAATGGCCACTCCTGGCATAGAGATTAGCAGGATGGATAGCCTCATGGCCTTGTTCAGTGTACAGAAGCATCAAATGTTAAGATCTGGTCATCTCTCATGTATTAAAAGAAATATGAGAATACTCTAAAAAATCAACCATTCTTAACTTTTTTTGCCATAGCCATAAACACGATATGAAATATAAGCTGAATCGGGGTTGAATAAGTTGCATAACGAACCATATAAGGTGATGTGTGAAGAATAATTTAATGTCTGTGTCCCTCTTCAAATGTATTAGCCCCTTCAGGGGCTATATAGCCCCTATTGAGAATAGCTGATCTAATTGGCTACTGTATCATTACAAGTGTTTAATAATGTGAAATGATTTTCATTGTGAAATTCACCTGATCCAAATAATTTTGTTTTTGTTATGTGCCGCCAAATTGCTTTGTGTTCATGCTGACCATATGAATGAATGATGTACAAAAGATCCTATCATGAACAGCACGGCTAAGATCTTATATCCTAAGGATGTGGATTCTTGAATGGAGTCCATTTCATGTTAGATTTTCCTCTAGTGTTAAATATTCTTAATATTATTGCCTTGTCTTCTCATGACATGTGCAAAATATAGCGCCAAATTAAGAAACTTCTTTACATTTAAGGAATGAAAGGGAATATAGTTGGCTGAGTTTTAAAAATTGACTGTATGCTACTTGGTTATTACTGTAACATTTTCTCATGTGGAAATGTGGTTTTACATATACATTCAATTTTAAAATTTTCTAATGGTAAGATACCTTTTGATTTCATTTAGAAAATGTCTAAAAATTTAGTAATAATAATACTGTATTTAAAAGTATTTAACACAATTGTGCTATGCTGTGTCTTTATATTGTAGCTATTTAATAATTATTTTATATATCAGAGTAGTATCTACCCATTGGATTAAATGTTGTACAAATAAAATTTTACTATTGATATTTTGAAATATAATTGTAGTTCTTGCTTCAGATTTACATAAAATCTGATAAATCTCAAGAAAACATAACTTAGATATTTGGTTTCTGGGCAGCACTTTATAAAATCTAGCATTCCAATCTTTTACAAATCTAATGAGTTCCACTAATATCAAAGCTACCAAAGACCTGCCTTTATTACATCTTATTCTATACACCTTTTTATCGCTGGCCAGCTCAACACCACTGCATATCGTGACATCTGCCATTTTGATTTCTTTTTTTTTAGCATTAATTATTGTGGGAGTCACCAGAGCTTTTGAGTAATGCTCTCCACAGAGTTGCAAATCAATTCACCAATATATAAGAAGGCCAAAACACAAAGAGGGGAGACAAAATAAAGATAGAAGAACAGAGAGAGCTATAGAAAAAATCATAAAAGTATGGGATGGCAAGCTATTAAAATGCTCAACAAATTTTGATATACATCTTTCTTAGGGGCAAAGAGGATTGTTATATTCCTGGGCTGTGAATCAAATCGCAGTGTAGTTGCATCCCCAGTTGAGATAAATAAATGGGAAATTAGATAGATAGATAGATAGATAGATAGATAGATAGATAGATAGATAGATAGATAGATAGATAGATAGATAGATAGATAGATAGATAGATAGATAGATAGATAGATAGATAGATAGATAGATGTGAAATAAGAGTAAGGCTGATCTTGTGAAACTTCCAACCACAGCTGCCTTACTTTCCAGTGTAATAGTGAAGAATAACTGCAATTTAGACTAGAATCCACTAGATGTCCTTAACATATTTGACATATTTGCTTGAGTGAAATAGTTTGCTACAAAGCCAGAACTTTGGTAAACTTTGGAGTGAAGACGTATAGGTGGAAAACTTGTGGAGCAACCTCTGTCTTCAGTTCCTGGTAACTGGGTGAGTCCATAGTGTTGTTTCACAGTCTGTCTCAGCCTAAAGGTACTCCTGCAGGGTATAAATCTGTTACTTTGGTCTTCATCAATGGAGTGAGAGATTCCAGTTGGATGCTGTGCCAGGAGAGAGAATGACAGGTGTCTGAAAAATCCTGTGTTCGTAGATTTAGCTTAGTCTCCAGCCGGCTCCTAACAAAGAACATGTATTTGGGACTGCTAAAGCATCCAGACACAATCAGAACAAGGAGGAATCCAAAGCAGTCTGCATCCAACACGTGGATGTAACAGCAAGAAAAAGATATTACAACTGCTGCTGTGAAGAGTGTTGGCTTCAAATAAAGCAGAAAAAAGTTCTTCTCACCATGGGTATTCCGAAACTTGCAAGTCTGACTTTTCTTGGCTGGTTGTTATTTCCATTAGTCCTGGACTGTGGTTTTGCTGCCCACAATATGGAACTACTACCGAAGAATTCAAGTTCTTCAGTTCAAGCAGATCCATTTGATGCTACTGAATCGGGGAGAGATGAAAGGCTACATATATTCACTGTAGATTATGAATATGTGCAAATCCCCTATGAAGTTACGCTTTGGATACTCCTAGCCTCCCTTGCGAAAATCGGTGAGTCAAAATGTCCTAGGCTGAATGCACTCGTAACTTGGAGTAAGTCTTAGGGAACATGGGGCAGGGGCTTACATCTGAGTAGACATGTGTAAGATGGTGATGCACTCACCAACTTCCCTCCCCGCTTCAAGTACAATAATAAAAATAACAGAAATATTTACAATCATCATCAACCAAATAACTGAATTAGGTATTTCAGGGCATTGTAAGCCATATATTCTGTTTAGCGTGTGACCTGAAGTATCAATGACACTGTATGGCAGAAATTGAATGTGCTTGTCACAAAAAATCTAACGGAGAAAATGTCAAATAACAGGAACAGAGAAAGTGTTAATTGTTTCAACTTGCAAATGAAGGTTGCCATCTTCACATAGTCTTTTATCACAAATTAAAATTGCAGTCCTATAAATTGCTTACTTAGGAGAAAGCCCAACTGAATTCAATGGAATTTGTTTTTGAGTAAAGACCTATATGATTGCATTGAAAGGGTATTCTTGAAGTTTACTAAGCTAGGCTCATGCGTAGCGGTTTGTATATTAAATGAAAATATTACATTTCTGTCTTAAACTTAGTAAAATCTCCCATTCAAATTTTTAACTTGTGAAAAAAGATTCAATGATATAATAATAGCAATATTTCTTGCACAACAGGTAAAATTCCTTCTTTCAGCTTTGGACAGGCTTTCTGAGAGCTCAGATGAGGCCCGGAACATTTAATATTGTGAGGCCCATTCATTATTTGGAAAGAGGGCTAAGAAACATTTTAATGTGAAGAACAGCAAACATTTTTGAATTTGTAAAATGTATTTTATCTAGCTGAAGTGACATGGACCCCATGAGGCAAGATCTTTCCAGCCCCCCATGCTAAGGGTTACTATGATGAGGGAGAAGCATGAGGCTTCATAGTATATTTTTGTACACTATATAAAACACTATATAAAACAGGGCTTGTCCCTTATTGTGTATAGGATCACAGTTTAATGGGCCAAATTAGTCATGGTGGTTTCCAAGTTGCTAACAATTAATGATTGTTGTCTACTTTGAAGCAGTCACAACCCCTGCAGTACGATATATCCTGAGCTAAAATTTGTGAGAGGTTTTCTAGCTTAATTTACCTGCAAAAAAATACTTTTAAAAAAGAAATTACATAGCTTCAATTTCTAGACTTCAATTTTAAAAACAGCCCGTCTTGAGTTCTGACTCTGTAAAGGTAGCCATAGCTCTTAGTTTCAAAGTTGTAAACAAGGCTGTTCGTGACAGGACCTTTTGAAGCATACTAGTCACAATCCTCCTGATGTTCGTGTAAGATCTGAGTAACTTTCTGCAGGAACTGCAAGTAATTGATAAGATATAATGGTACATATTGGTCATGCTGCTGGGCAAGTGGTGAGAAATCTAAGAGAGACATACTCCGGCACCTCATCAATTAGTCGGGACAGGTTACACACACCATGTGCAAACACCACTAGGAGTCTGGTGGTCAGTGCTTCATAGGGCTGCTGTAAGCTGTAAGCAATTTGATGGCACATAACAATATTATTTACCTAATTCCATATTATTAATGTAGTTCAGTGCAAAACCAAGCACTGAATTTAGCATGTTCACATCTGGCACTATAACCTTGACATAATGGCAACAAGTGGTTGCTTTCTTAAAAGTTATCAAAAGCAGTTTAGAGGTAAAGTTTTAAAAAGATTCCTTTTTAGCAATGCTAAATTCAGAAAGTCCTTTGAAGTAGTTTCAGTCAGAACCTTGAAAACTAGTTTTCTTAAAAACAAATATAATCCTATATTGAAACCATCTAGTACCTCTGACAGAAAGAACATCTTAGTAACAAATTAAGGAGCAAACAAAGAATCATATATCTAAGTTATGACCTGCCTCGTGTTTTCAGAAATGAGACCAAAAAAGTGGTTGCGTTCTTAACAGTTATCAAAAGCAGTTTAGAGGTAAAGTTTTAAAAAGATTCCTTTTTAGCAATGCTAAATTCAGAAAGTCCTTTGAAGTAGTTTCAGTCAGAACCTTGAAAACTAGTTTTCTTAAAAACAAATATAATCCTATATTGAAGCCATCTAGTATCTCTGACAGAAAGAACATCTTAGTAACAAATTAAGGAGCAAAGAATCTTATATCTAAGTTATGACCTGCCTCGTGTTTTCAGAAATGAGACCAAAATTTATTTTCGATCATAGAGTGCATTCCTAGGTGTAAATCTGACCTCTGCAGAGCTATCAATGACTTAATTGTTTTGAAATCTCAGTTTTGAGGCTAGGTTTAACTGTAAACCAGACAGCCACAACAATACTGGGCATAATGTGTGAATTTCCCTTTTTCTCACTTTCCCTGCCATTTTCAAATCCCACTAATTCTGATGGAAAGTTCTGGAGAACTCAAAGCTTATACACTTTTGTGGAATTTCTGTTGGCTCTCATCAAGGTACTGCCCACCTTTGGATTTTGATTTCATTTTATTCTGCCTCTTTTTTGACACCTGGAATCTGCTGCCTGCGGCTGAGCTGGCCCTCTCACTTTAGCTAATAATGGGAAGTATCTGATGAGCCTTACTCCAGGTGAGCCTTCCTGGACTGAAGATGGGGACTGGAAATCATTGTTTCAGCCTTGTTTTCTTCACAACACTAAAGTACTCTCCAGTCCAAAGTGAAGCACTTTTGAATCCAAAAAGATGTCACCAAGAGAATTAAGTAAATGCTCAGCTTTGGGTGAAATATTCTGAAATAGTTCTGTAACAAATTTTGGTTGCTCTTAAAATACCTTATTCGTTCAAGCAGACCATGTATGTACATACAGACTGGATGTACATTGTTCTGCCATGAGAGACAAGATAGGTTTTCTCCATTTCTAGGAAAACTAAAGGACTATGGTCTCTTGCTTGCTTTAGAGTGGCCAAGGCAGGAAGTACATGTTTCAGATAAACCACAGTAAGTTTTCTTACTGTGGATTATCTGAAAACAGGCGTGAAACCCCCAGTTTCATATGTCCTGCTTTAGTGCAAATCCTCACAATAAAGCAGGACATGGAACAGTTCTGGGCCTGCAGACTGGTCAGGGCTGGGAGGCTTCCTGATCCTACCTACAACACTGGTGTTGGGGCAACTTTTCCTGCTTGCCATCGAGGGGAAAAGGAGCTGCTGCTGTTGCTGTTGCTGCCAGCCCAGCAAAAATGATGTTGCAGCCAACCACTTTCAAGGCGACCAGAAAACCTTCCCCACACTGGCTGTGCAGTGATGTTATTACCAGCAGCTCCAGCAGCTCTGTTATCCCTACACATCAAGCCCTGACACAGTATTGTCAGTAGCTGGGAAGCCTCCCAGCACTAGCTGGCTGGGATGGAAGCCCTGGTGTGGTGTTAAAGATGCTACCAAAGTTTGCCTTGATCGAGAAGTATTAAAAACACTTGCCATTACACCTTATTTAATTTATTCATTTAAAACACGTTTGCCCCCATTATTCTCCTTAAAAGGGTCCAAAATCTGCCAGTCTTTTTAAACACGCCATGAGGGGCACCGTGTCCCAACACCACACAGAAGCCAGCTTGCCATTCCAGCCCGTTCTGTTCTGAAGCTGGCAAGAGGCCTTCTCATTAGCGGCCCGGTAAATTTATTCAGGCAAAGCTAGCAGTCTGTCAGCTCTTTCGTCCTTTTATGCAGCGTCGTGTGTTAATTCAGTCTGACACCTCTAGATCCAGAACTTCAAGGGAGCAGCACTAGTGTGAGATGAGGCTGGGTCATTTGCCAAGGCAGAGCAGGGAACGAGAGAGAGAGAGAGAGAGCACACAGTTTTGCACTAGTTGCTGATGGGTTCACTCATGACATCAGAAGCATCCACCCCAGGACTACTGCAAGGATCTGCATGTAGGATTCTGGATTTGGTTCTTAGATCTTAAGGAATGGGTTGCTTGTGACCTGGGAACCGTCAGACTTCTTCATGTCTGAGACAAACAACCACAAGCACTGCAAGACTTTTAAAGAAGACAACAACAACAACAAACACTTGTTTCTTTTCCTGTCTTTTGTTCAAGGTTTTCATCTCTACCACCGGCTGCCACATTTAATGCCCGAAAGCAGCCTCCACATTGCCATGGGTGTCTTGGTTGGTGCAATTATTTTTGGTACTGACCACAAGTCCCCTCCAGTCATGACTACAAACATTTACTTCTTGTACCTCCTCCCACCCATTATCCTTGAACAAGGATATTTTATGCCTACCCGGCCCTTTTTCGAAAATTTTGGATCCATTCTTTGGTGGTCTGCCATGGGCTCCCTGATGAATGCTTTTGGCATTGGCTTCTCTCTTTACGGGATCTGCCAAATCACGGCCTTTGGCCTCAAGGATGTGAACTTGCTGGACAACCTGATGTTTGGCAGCATGATCTCAGCCGTGGATCCTACAGCTGTCTTAGCTGTGTTTGAGGAGATGTCCGTCAACGAACAGCTTTATATGATGATATTTGGAGAGTCTTTGTTAAATGATGGGATAACTGTGGTAAGTACATATCATAATATTTGCAATTAATGTTTTAAATGAAAATATAAAAAATCTGGGGGGAAAGAAAAAAGGGGGGAAGGCCATATAATATAGTCATGACCTACTATGTACACAGCTGGCCCCACAATTAGGCCAGGAGCGGAGGCTGCCTCAAACGATGGCCCCTGAGAATGGTACATTTCCTTCTCTTTTCACTCCATAGATGCAGTTATAGCCCTAGCACTATCCCTACCATGCAGAAGGAGAAGGCAGTATGGCAGTGGGAAGGGGAGGGGAGAGAGGAGGCATGTGATGGGGCTAGCCATGGCTAGCTAGCTACAGGAGTGGGGTGGATTCACCCACAGAATAAAATAAAGAAGAAGGCAACTAGGAGAAGGACAAGATCACAGCCACAGTCCTTATTCTCCTTGCCAGAGGCTGGGTTCTATGTCTCCTGTTATCTTCACTTAATACTGGGCAGCTCTGAAGAGGGAAAATGCATGGAGCAATATAGCAACAAGGGTGCACTCCCCCCATAAGAAGATCAGGAGGTCATACTGCTGCTAAGGCTGGCTCTCCAAAGGTTGGCCACCCATCCTTCTTAGAGCAACGGATGTGCCCTTATCACTGCCACCTGCCTGTTGCCACTCATTCCTTCTCTATCTTCAGAGCTGGCAGGTACTGAGTGAGGAAAATGGCTCCTCTGGGCAACTAACTCTGGCATGGGGTGTGAAGCATGGCTGCTGCTTCATTCCTGTCTTCTTCCTGGTCTTTTTTCTTATAGGAGTGGGAGCATCCAAATCCCTGTAGCCCACCCGTGGCTGCTGGCAGTGTGCCCACCTTCTCCCTTTTCTTTCCTTTTCCCTTTTCCAGTACTCTCCACTTCTCCATTCACAGCCATCTCTTCTTCTATGGTGGGGACAGCTGCCACTCCCTCCAGCCAGACAGGGCTGTTGCATGTAATTAAAGTGATAAATACAACATAAAGAGACAAAAAAAAAATCCTGTTGAAACTGGCATCTAGGAGGCACACACACACTTGCATATATGAGGTAGAAAGACACTGCAACTTTATGACAGTGATTAGTGAGTAAATTGACCATTAGTTAAATTCGAAGTCACAGATTCATGCACTTCAAGTGTACATATGGTTGATGTTCGATTACCTCATGTTGCTTCCGACATATGGCAACCCTAAAAAAGTGACAAAAGGCAAGATGTTCAGAGAGTGGTTTATCATTGCTACCCTTCCTCCCCCCTCAATGAGTTTTCATAGCCATGTAAGGATTTGAATCCACGTCTCCATAGTCCTAGTCTTTCACTCTATCCATGACACTACACTGACTCTCTAAGCATACCCAAGATTTTTTTTTCATATAAAAGGAATATGCTGTAAAATACCCAGCTACAAAGCGGACACCATTGGAAAGCCCACACCACATGCCACAAGGATGCATTATTTACATTACATCCTCTGTCACATTGTTGCTCTGCCTCCTCCTATAGAGCATGCCCCCTCCTACTATGGGTCAAATGACACATTGAGAGCAATGCAGTCTGCCTTCCGTACCTCCATGTAACAGCAATCTCCAGTGCTTCTTAACAGAGACATTGGGCAGGCAGGGGAAGCTGTGCTCCCTCCCAATAGATGAATTACAAAACAAAAGCAGGCCAGCTTGGCAAATGTACTTTGAGACAAACTTGTGTTAGGAAAAAGAAAGTGCCCTTCTTCTTGGTACAGAATTGGTGTCTCTGCTATTGAGGCCCAGTGGATCATGTAGAAATGTGTTGCATCTGAGGTCCAAATTATACATTACAGATATTACAGACACAGCCATCATTAGGAGAGAGAATTCCTGAGCTGCTGATCAGGTGTAATTGGCACAGCACAGCTTTACTTACCTCCTGTAATTTGGTATTCAGGATGTCAACATGACCTTCCTTGTGAGGTGATTTCTCAGGCATGAATGAGTGCTACAGTCTTTTCTCCTTGTGGCTAATGTGGTTTCACCTCTAAAGAAAAGCTGTAGCATATTGATTGGTCCTAAGTCATGAAGGCAATATGTATCTTTGGCTACCATTGTGATGAGACGTTTATTTACTTCCCCACTCAGGTTTTGTACAATATGTTCATTGCCTTCACTCAAATGCATAGATATGAGGAGATAGAGCCCATTGATGTCCTGGCTGGATTTGCTCGCTTTTTTGTTGTGAGTCTTGGCGGGCTGCTGTTTGGCATTGTCTTCGGGATTGTGGCCGCATTTATGACTCGATTCACACAGAACATCTCTGCCATCGAACCTCTCCTAGTCTTCATGTTCAGCTACTTGTCCTACTTGGCTGCAGAAACTCTGTACATTTCTGGCATCTTGGCGTGAGTATCGGAGCAATGCCCCTTTCCAAGCCATCCAAATCACAATAGGCTTATCATTTCTTACCTATGCGCTCTTGGGTGGTTGCCTCAATCAGATGATAAAAAGCAGTGTTTGACGATACCAAGAGTACTTAAGAAATTATGTAATAAGCAATTTAAATAAACTGCTCCCTCCTTAACAATTAACTCAGCACATTGCATGGGTATGGAAATTTACTAAGTACTGGCGATGGCTGGGTCAGTGTACATCAAGCATGCTGAGAATTCCCTTTCATTTCTCCATGGCCATGTGTTGCCTCCTGTTCTGCTTGTATGCATGTTCCTACAGATGACACGGTGCCATGTGACTTTTTAAAAGTAATTACTATTGGAGCTTGGGAAAAAAATATATTAGGAATTGGTTATTCCCATTTTTAGCAGATCGCAAGAAAAACAGAAGTGTGGGGGGGGAAAAACTTAGCCCATTCTCTCCAACCCTCATTGGGGCAGACAGAGTAGGGCCAAACAGTTATTTAGGTCACATTTTGCAGAGCTGGCAGCATGATCTCTTTCAGAGATGAGATTACATACTGCAGTTCATGAACCAGCCTGATTCTGCTCTGTTCCTGTCTAGACCTTTTTTTTGGCTCAGCAGCAAAGACTGTTCCCTTTTTTTGAATGGGCTGGTGTGATCAAAACCAGATGGGAAGTTTGTTTCAAAGGGTCCCTTTTAAGATCACACCTTCAAAGCGACCCTTTCCAACACAATCCAGTGTGATGTTTAGATCACTGTCTGATCGTACCCACAGTCTAGCCCTTTTGTAGTAAAAAGTGATCACTCTAGATGCATTTCAAGAAGGGAGAAGTAATATTTACTGACACTTATGGGCTGTAGTTATAATCAGAGAAAAATGGGGATTCTAGCATTGAGGAAAGTGATGACAAACCTAGAAAACATCTTAAAAAGCAGAGACATCAGCTTGCTGACAAAAGTCCGCATAGTCAAAGCTATGGTTTTTCCAGCTGTGATGTATGGAAGTGAGAGCTGGACTATAAAGAAAGCTGACCACCGAAGAATTGATGCTTTTGAATTGTGGTGCTGAAGGAGACTCTTGAGAGTCCTCTGGACTGCAAAGAGAACAAACCTATCCATTTGAAAGAAATCAAGCCTGAGGGCTCAGTGGAAGGACAGATCCTGAAGCTGAGGCTCCAATACTTTGGCCATCTCATGAGAAGAGAAGACTCCCTGGAAAGACTTCCCTGATGTTGGGAAAGAGTGAAGGCAAGAGGAGAAGGGGACGACAGAGGATGAGATGGTTGGACAGTGTCATCGAACTGACCAACATGAATTTGACCCAACTCCGGGAGGCAGTAGAAGACAGGAGGGCCTGGCGTGCTCTGGTCCATGGGGTCACGAAGAGTCAGACACGACTTAACGATTAAATAACAACAACAAGCATGAAGGAAAATTCCTTGCTTGCTTCTTGAAAAGTGGTTGGGGAAGAGATAACAAACCACTACGAAGGAGCCAGAAAACAACCAGGAAGAATGGACTGACCCAACAATAGAAGCAGGAAATACTCCACCAATCAAATCAGTGGCTGCTGAGCTGGCGGTAGGAAGTTTGGTTCCTCCCTGTGCATCCCAGAAGAGCCTTGGGCAAGCTGCTCAGTCCCAGGATGCCCCCAGAAGAAGGGAATGGTAAACAATTTCTTTGTGTTCCCTACCTAGAAAACCCTGAAAAAGATAATCGTTAAGTCAGAACTGACTGCGTACACCAAGTAAAAACAGTAGAACATGTTCCTCCTACTGTTAACCAGTGTCATGCCATGCAAAACTGCAATTATCCCAGTAGTTTTCATTCTAAGGCCCCTCAAAGTAGTTTGTTACCCTTGTCATTGCAACTTCAAAAATAATTTTAAATTCCTCTTTCTTACATAAGTAGTGTTAGGCAGTAATATATGATACAACTTTCTAATCAGAATCAGAGTTTCCTTAAGGACCATGGAGTTTCTGCATCTCTGCAAGTTAGCATGCTTTTGTTTAGTTTAATACTGAAAGTTGGTCCTGCCATTGGATGGAGTGAGGCAACAATCTCAGATGAGAATGCTGGGAGCCAGCTGTGGCAGGCACCCCATCATTTCTCCAGACCACTTCCTGTTCCCTTATGTGGAAGGGCAGAGTCTACTGCCACGAGGCAACAATCTCAGATGAGAATGCTGGGAGACCACTTCCTGTTCCCTTCTGTGGAAGGGCAGAGTCTACTGCCATACAACCTACCCTGAACAAGGTGGTGGGGCTTGGGGTGATGGTTGATGTTGTGTCATTACCAGCCTACTTAATTGCCAGCCCACTTTGCCCATGTTATGTGGAATGGGGTCTGCATGCCCTCTGTTTTGTTCACCCAGGCAGAGAAATGTCCTGATCTGTGCCCAGCAGTGCTGTGACAATTCTTGATAATAAATTTGTGGAGTGGCTGTTATATTGACCTGATCTCTCTGCCACCTTTAAGCACATCAAGGTTCTGCCTTTTCACAGGCCAATTTGTGTGAGCAGCAGCACAACAGAGGTACAGGAGAGACTACCGGGTTGATTGACTCTTCTAATTATCTTGGGGAAAGCTCATAGTTGGTGCAGATGGCTGGGGCAGGTGGCTGACTCCAATTTCAAAAGGCTCATGAATCCATTTTGGGTTTAAAAGAACTCTTCAAGGTATTGACCTTTTGTGGGATATGGTATGAATGGATTGACCATTGCAACAAAAATCAGAGCCATCCACCTTCAGTGGAGCAACTGCCCCCAACCTGGCACCCACCAGCTGTTGATGAGACTTGCAGTCCAACAAAGCTGGAACATGCCATGTTGACAAAGCCTGAGTTACATGGGAATACTAAGGTAAAGGGATTATTGATCTCTTTGGGTGATTTACAGTTTAATAATGCAGGCTACGCATTGCCCCCTACAGCAAGCTGGGTACCCAATTTAACATCCCTGGAAGAACGGAAGGTTTAATCAACTTTGCACCAGCTACCTAAGCCCAGGATCAAACTCAGGTTGTGAGCAGAGTCTTCACTGCAGTACTGCACTATGGGGCGGTATATAAGCAGCAAACTTTGCTTTGCTTTGCTTACCAGTCTGAATCATAAGCAATTGTTTAGATGAAGTTTCTCCAATGTGATGCCAGCTGAATGTTTTGAATTACGTACTCCCATCAGCCCCAACCAGCAAAGTCAATGGGCAGAGAGAAATGGGGGTTGTAGTTCAGTATATCTGGAGGGTGCTCAATCAGGGAAGGCTGGTTTAGAATCCTTTGAGTACTGACAGACTTCAGCTTCAGATGAGAGAATGAAAAAAGCTACACGACCAGCTCAGGGTGATTATTGGAATTAGTCCTTTGGTGGAGAGGATTCCTCCCCCTCCTCCCCCTGACTTCCCAATGACTCATGTGCCCTTTTCTTCGTGTTTCTGAACTGATAGGATTGCGGCATGTGCAGTGACAATGAAGAAATACGTGGAGGCAAATGTTTCCCAGAATTCCTACACAACAATCAAGTATTTTATGAAAATGCTGAGCAGTATCAGTGAAACTCTGATATTTGTGTTCATGGGAGTGTCCACAGTCAGTAGGAACCACGAGTGGAACTGGGCTTTCGTTTGCTTCACATTGGTCTTCTGCGTCCTCTGGAGGGCACTAAGTAAGAAACAGCTAGGATAATCAAGTGCAAACAAGTGGAAGAAATGTGTTGTGTCCCTGAAAGAAAGAAGGGAAGGGCAGAAGGTAGATCCCGATTCACTACTTGGTCTCCGTGGAATTTACAGTATCTTGACAAACTTAAGAAATGTTGATGTTTTGGAGGGAAACATTCTGAGAGGTCCACAAGGAGAACGGAGTACAGTGGTGCCTTGCTAGACAGTTACCCCGTATGGCAATTTTTTCACTAGACTTTGACTTTTTGCAATCGCTATAGCGATTCGCAAATCAGTGATTCCTATGGGGGAATTTCGCTGGACAATGTTTGGTCCCTGCTTTGCAAACCAATTTTCACTAGACAACGATTTTAACAGCTCCCTCTGCGCTCGCAAAGCGGATGTTTTCGGGACCTGAGCTTCGCAAGACATTTAAACAGCTGATCGGTGGTTCGCAAAGTGGCTTTCCTATGGCCGATCTTTGCTAGACTACGATGATTGTTCCCCATTGGAACACATTAAACAGGTAGGGAAATGCTTTTTGCTAGACAATGATTTCACTAAACAGCGATTTCAGTGGAACAGATTATCATCGTCTAGCAAGGCACCACTGTAAGGGTGAAAGTCAAAAAGATGGAAGGAGGAGCTTGTTGAGCTTAAGCAGAGGACCAAAACAGGCAAGGCTGGGAGCTTCACAGGTACAGGATTGGTCAGTGACAAAGTAGCTGTGATTCTCCACTAAAGTTTAGGCAAGGCTGGGAGCTTCACAGGTACAGGGTTGGTCAGTTAACAACTTTGAGAGATGCAAACTAGCTTGCTTTTGTTTGGTTATTTTGTCATTGCTGAGGGAAACAATGGGCTTTGTTTGCCTGTTTATTTTGCAACATTTAGTGATGCATTTCTGGGCATTGGCATCTCTGGGCACTTCTGGGCACATATTGTTCTCCCTCCTAATTCCAGTTGTGCCCTTCTTCTAATGTTGAAGATTAACTGGAATTGCATACAGTTGGAAATCATTGTAAATAAATTTGACATCTGATAGAGGGGCTCTGCAAGGTCCTTGAAATATCACAACTTTCAACATTTAATGAAAGAAATGGAAGTGCCACCCCTGCCAACAGGGATCAAATTATTCTTGAAATGAAGTGGGGGGGAACAGAAGTAGATAGGTGTATTAAACTTTTCATCGGGCCAGACTTGTGTTTAGGTATTTGATTTTGAGGGCCCAGAGTTCCTGGGCTATTATTTCTCACATTGATCTCAGCTTGGTTCCACAAAACAACAATAACAACAAAAACAAAGCAGAGCTGCTAACACCAGAGTTTGCCCACTTCTGATTTAAAGCAGAGCTTGGAAATTAGAATGATTTATTTTGGGTCTTGAAGAGTTCTGGGTTCAGTGTTTCCAAAAGTAACTTTCACAATATCTTTTTTAAAAAGCATCTTTAAATGCACAGAAGAGGGAAGGCCGGCTAGGAAGTTCAGGACTGACTGGTTTGACCAGTTTGACAAAGATTTCTCAAGGTGTATTCTGTTAACCAGGTGCTTTCATGCATACCTGTACTCTGCAAATAGGAAGAATAATAGACATTTTGGAACTATTGTTTAAGGACCTTTGGAGAGCAAAACTCTGAATCTATAGTTTGGGGAAATATATATTAAAAATTAAGCTCTTTTCATTGGTGTTCCTCAGATAACCATCTTGAATGTGAGCCTCACTGGACAATCTCAGTAGCATGAGAAAATTAACTTCAGGGTAATCTAGAGAGGAGAGGGGAGACCACATGTAACCATGAATCTGTGTTAAGGTGTGCAGCCTGAATTTGCTACATGTTTGGCAGGATCTTTTTGTTATGTTAAAAGGAAGAAGTGTTTGGAAAAATTACTTTTTTAAAAAAACTACAGCCCCAGAACCCACCTGGTAGGATGGCCAAGCTGGGCGTTTTTGGGAGTCATCGTCCAAAGCAGCCATGTTGCTGAGCTCTAGGAAATGGTGGGTTAGGCTAGATGGGAGTGGGTTTGGCAGGATGCTGCACAGCTGCAGAGAACAAAAAAAAGCTATTATACGATGGATTAATAATCTCAGAAGCTAACGGAGAAGGGAAGCACAGGCTGTGCCCTATAGCTATAGTTCTCAGCATATTTGGGTGCATGACTGTCATGTGGATTAGACACGGGACTTTTGGATTTCTTGCACTGCAACCCCTAGAATTTGCCAGGAGTTCCCCCAGCCAAATCTCTGGAGCCACAGCCAAGAAATCTAAGTTCACAAAGCAGTTTCTCATCCCTGACATCTGGGTCTTGGGAAGCTTTCAGAGTGACCACCATTTGCCTCAGAGGAAGAAGGAAATGACTGGGAGTGGCTAATTTCCAGTGGAGCAGCAAGGGGTTATGGGACTGTCATCCTTTGCAGAGCCTAATCCTCATAATCCTTTGTGGCATCTCCTAGAATTTAGTGAATTCCTGGTGAATTATGTGGGGTGCAGTATAGAAAACCTGGAAGTGACAGGACTACTGTGGATTCAAACAGATGTGACATACTTCTGAGGAGGATGAATATGAAGCCATTGATAACAAAGCAACAGGAGGAAGATGCTTTGAATGCTAGAGCATCTGCTGCTGCTTCTCTACGGTGGATGGCTTCAGCATTTTATTGTACAGTATTTGTTCTTTGTAAAAATAACTTTCAAACCTCAGACATGAATAAAATTGCAGTGATGCTTTCAATATCCAAACTCATCATTTCAGCTGATAGCAAACAGTGTATATCACCGTGCAAATTGCAGCCGGGTTTTGTATAAATATCCATTCAGTTATTTCTCTTTGCTTATCGTTTGCCCTTGTTCATCTATTAGGTGTGTTTTTGCTGTTCTCCATCAGCAACCTCTTTCGGACTTACCGGTTTACTCTTAAAGATCAAGTTGTTATCATCTATAGCGGTTTACGAGGAGCCAGCAATTTCTCTCTGGCATTTTTGCTTCCTGCAACTCTGTTTCGTAGAAAGAAAATGTTCATCACATCTACTATTGTGGTGATATATTTAACTGTCTTCATCCAGGTAAAGAAATATAGTAATTGTAAATTGTTATCTTTCAGTGGGCAACTTATAGCTGTCTTGATGCTGTTGGACTGTTGGTTCCAGTAGCCATAGTCATCATATCTGATGGTGAGGATCAGGAATGATGGGTCTGGTATTCTTTACAGCAGATCAACACTAAGTGAGCCAGGGTTGAAACATACATTGTAGATAACCTATCACTAGAAGAAGCTAATTCCTGAAGTGATGATTCATGTGATTGTCACGGCAGGAACTTTCCTCACCTCCTGGAGTCTGCAAATTATCTTGCTTCAGCATAGAAGCATATTCTTTGCTTGCATAATTGATCTGTTAGATACAAACATCTGAAGGACTGACCTCTGTCTCTGGAACATGAATATAATTTAAGCTCATCTGACAGGTTATCTGTAACACATAGGTTGGCCCTTAGATGCTTTTTCTCTCCAAATCTTGTTGACTAGAGGGATGATCGGCCAGTATTTTTTTCCCCTTTCTGTATTGTTCTTGCAGGGAAAGCACTTCTGAATAACACTGTTTATCTACATAAATCCAACTCAGCATTAGCTAAGATCATATGATTAATTAGCATAATATTTTCCTGGAACATCAAATGCAGGTTTCTGGATCTGATGTGTGCAGGTTTGTATTAGGGCATTCCTTCTATTTGGTAACAGAGGCAATGCATGCTGGATGGTTGGTCCAAGTGAGCAGGACTTTCTATGCAATGGGAGACGAAGTTGTCCAATCTCGCTGTTAAATTACTGTTTTTTTCTTAGAACTATCAAAATTCTTGCACTCCATATGGCCAATAGCCTTGCTAATTAAAGGATCCCAGAAATTCTAGTTCAAAAAAGGAATTTTTCTAATATTTGGATCCTGTATCTTGTTCCACAATTAATTTGCCTCAGTTAACAATTCCTTACTTTCTCCCTTTCTCTCTTTGTTTCATCTGAAGGGAATCACAATTAGGCCACTTGTAAAGTACCTAGATCTTAAGAAGACCAACAAAAAGGAGTCCATCAATGAGGAGATTCATGAACGAGTAAGATGAATGTTAAAATGTATACTTACCACTGAATATACAGGAGCACAGGAAGCCATGTTATATCACATCTAACTGTTTTCCCACATAACGTAAGCTTAATGTTTGGTTCAGACCTAGCCATAATGTTTGGTTCAGACCTAGGCCCATTATGAGCAATGCAACTTCAGTTAGTAAAGCCTAATCTATCCCCAGTGATACCAGTCAGCTTCATTTTAGTCTAAGAGCAATTTACAGTAAACCTAATCCCAGTTCATCCTCTAGTCTCTGAGGCAAAATTCTCCTGCCAGCTACCTGAGCTTTTTAAGCTGGAGATGTTGTGGGGATTTTGAACTTGGAATCAGCTTCAAGCAAAGCTAGTACTCTATTCCTGAACTATATTTGCTCCTCATGGAGATAGTTGTGGCTTGATAAACTGTGCATTTCCCCACCGTTGGGGATTTTCTTGGTTTCTTAGCTAATAGTGGAGGTAAGCCGCCAAACTAGATCTTCCATTGACCTGGCCTGGTGTACCAGGTTGTGCTTACATTTTGTTTTGGTGTCCTCTTTGTGGGCAGCTCTTAGCACTGGTGCAAAGACAAGCAGGGTAACCAGTAGTACAGTATAGGGATAGGCAATGCATGGTCTTTGGCTGCATACTCCCACCCCACCCCCACACCTTTTATAGCCTCTGCTGCTGCTAAAATTCAGTGGATAAACATGAATTCATGTTTCTTGTAAAACGAGGTGTGAGAAGCTCATGCATCTTGTTCTGCTTCCAGAAGGTGCCATTCTCCTTTAGAACCAAGGATCCTCTCCGTGCATGTGTTGCTTTAAGTCTCAAAGGTGGTTTTAACATACTTCTGCCAGTACGTTTCAACACTGTGGACTGGCAGAGTAATACTGTATTTTGGAGCAGGTTCTAGTGGAGTACAACATTGCACACAAATGTTGGTATGGGTATGCTGAGATCCTCTGAGGGGGGGGTGCCCCATGGCTGGGGGAAGAAGGCAATACATACTCCATGCAAAAAAGCCTCAGTTGTAACCATCTTCTCCATGCAGATCTATCTGTTGATAGTTCTGGTACTTGAGTCAACTCCGATGGCCTCCATCCCACTTCTGCGCTCTAATCTGGAGAAGATGATAAGCACTCATGTATCTCATTGTTACACCAAATATGCTGGATTCAAAACAGTATAACTTAGTTTTGAGAAACCAGTTTGTTAGCAATATCATTTATTAACATTCAATCAAACATAGGCAGTGGTGCCGAGTTAGCCATCCTTCTTTGTAACAATTAAACGCACCATCTGCTTCTAGTCTAGTCCTGTTAGGATGATGTAAGCAAGTGCACAGAGAATCCTGCATTATGCTAGTTAGCACTGCTCCTTTGTTATTTTACCGATGCTTTAACATAGACATTTATGCTTGGATATAATACCTCCTTTGAATTGTCTCCGCTTGTAGATGATGGACCACTTAAAAGCTGGAATTGAAGATATTTGTGGACACTGGAGTCATTATCAACTAAGAGACAAGTAAGAAATATCTGTCATCTTCAGACAAAATAAAATATCTGATTTTTTTTTTTAATGGTGGTGTAGGGGAATGGCTCAAGCTGAAAATATTTTACAGTTGTTTCCATCTCCTTCTCAGAACCTACAAATTTTATTTTGGACTACAACTCTCATAATCGTGACTGGGGATTCTAAGTGTTGTAGCCCAAAAGTAACTCCATCGCGCACTGGTCCTTCTCTGGTTCTCTTCCTCATTTACATTACTAATTTACATTACTCTCTCACACAATGAATGAATTCTTGAAGCATTGATCATACAATCAGTGCACCCGGGTAGGTGAGATTTGTTTGGCTATCCGCGCTGCGTTTCCGTGGGTCCATCAGATCTTCTTTTGTATGCAGCCTCTATGTGTTCAACTTGTGTGCTGTTACAATCTGTGTGTAATAGCATAGGACTTGTATGGATACAAACGGAACACAGATGCATAGAGCTGTAAGACTGCAAGGAACCCCAAAAGGTACGGAGTCCCGATCCTTAGCAATGCAAGAAATCCACAGTTAAACAAGATGTATGCTTGACATCTGTTTAAATATGGTGGCAGTCTGTTCCACTGTTGAACAGATTTTACTTCCAGGAAGTTTCCCCCAACATTCAGGCAAAGTCTCTTTCCATGTAATTTGAATCCATTATTTGGGGTTCTACCCTTAGGATCAGCCTTTCCAGCATTTGTAGATGCATAGCGTCTGTTGTGAAAATCAGATTCATATGTGGAAGGATACTAGGAAATGGCTGCAGTGGTTATTCCCAAAGCTTGCCTTCATACATGTATTGCTTCTGTATAAGCAACACTTATTTATTATAGTTTCTGCTATTTATACTTTGTGAATGGTAGTGAGCACAAGATTGTATCCTGTAGACCATTGTGACTGCCATCATTGGTGTTGTCAACTTTCAGGCTGCTCTTTGGTTATGCAAAATTTGGCATCCTTTTTTTCTGCCGGCAATGATACTGTGCAGCAATATTTGGCCATTTCCTGGCATTGTGAATTGTGGATACAGAAGCACATTATCCCACATTCAAAAAATGGAGGCTTTTTGATGAACTGAATATTATTCATTATTCACAATGTTGTTGTACATATTTGTTTTAGAAAATAGTCAGCCAAAGAACAGCCCTCCTTTATTACTTTATTTTTAAAAAAAATCTATGTTAAAGAACACTAAATAGAAGAATAAATAATGCTGGTCTAAGCAAAAGCCATTTGTGTCCTGTGCAGAGAAACAGAGCTTCAAGTAGTATAAGTGGAGTGGGGCTTTGATCCAGGGTGCTGAAATTCAGAGAGTACTGTACCCAGATTTGCTGCTGGAAAGGTGTGGATTCTGGGAGCTGTACTCCAAGTGATACTTGCTTCTGAAAGGGTGAGGACACACCTGAATTACTGTTGATGAATACACATGATCATTCTAAGGGAAGGTGTCCAAGCAAGCACATCACTTTCAGCTGCTCCTCTCTAGGCAGAAGGACACATGTGGCAATCAACCTTGTGGCCCCTGTTTATTTTGGCCCTCACAAAGGTTCACACCCCTTTCTCTTCTAGCTGCCACAAGGTATTCTCCTAATACCAATTCTGTTATACATGTGTGCTGCCACAACTAAGGGTTATTGAACTTAGGAATCAGAGGTTTAATTAACAAATATTTTTTTATTGTTAAGTAAATCATAAAGGTAAATCACATATGAACTGTATCACGTATTAAAACGGATTGGATTATGTATGCAATCACTTTTATTCCAAACTGCTGTATACATTCAATCACCATCTCTCTTATTGTGCTTATAATTTCATTCCTGCTTGTTCCATATTGTTTAACCTTCTCAATTCCCTCTCCTAACACCCTCAGCTCAATTCACCAACCCTCTTCTTCTCTCGCCTAAACCCTAACTGCTATTCCACATCTCCAACTGTCTCTCTAACTCTGCCCCTCCTGCCCTATCCTTGGCTCCTCCCCCTTGAACTTCTGTGATGGACAGGCAGGAATGACGTCACCTGCTGGCATTTCGCTACAACACGTAAAAGAGTTGGGCTCAGTGGAGAACCCCCATGACCCTTGCATTCCTTCCCATTCTTCTGTCTTATGTAGGCTTAGTCCAATAAGGCAGCAAATCATCAAAATGAGTAGTGTAGTTACAGCTCTGTGCATGGCTTGAAGCAATGTCTCTATGCTACCCTATCGTGTGGGGACCCATCTAATGTTGTGGTTCCTCCAAATGCTCTGTTCAAGTTATGAAAATCTATTTATTTTTTCCTTTATTGCTTAGCTTTGAAATTGTGACGGAAATGAAGCCAGGCTAATGGACTATTTAGAATTTGGCTTCATTATTATTGAATATACATAATTATCGTAAGTGGTACTCTTTTAGTTGTAGCTCCTTAAAATATTTCATTTGCACAAAAATAGTAGATAAAATCCAGATTTCTTTTCTAGCCAAGAATGTAGAAGACGTCCTTCCTCACCCCCCACCCCACTCTGTGTTCACAATTCTTTGTTCATCTTACTTTAGACACAATGAATGGCTCAGTGAAACCCATTGCTTTGCCAAAGCTTAGAAAAGTTACTTTTGGGTAATTTCCCCAGAATTCTCCTAAGCAGCATGGTCATGTTGCCTGAGAGATTCTGGAATCTATACTCCAAAAAAAGCGATTTTGCAGGAGAGCTTTAGAGATACCTGTTCATTAGGTAAATAAATGGTTGCTAGATTAAATGAAACCTGAGCTCTCTCTTTGGAAGAAGAAGAAAAAAGACTAAACTGATGCTATTTTACTTCATGCATTTCATGAGAAAATATGTCACACTGGAAAAGACAATAATGCCAGGAAAGTTTTATGATAGTAGGAGAAGAGGAACACTGAACATGAGAGATGGATTGATTCTATAGAGGAAGCCATGACCTTTAGTTTGCAAGACCTAAGCAGGAATATTAATAACAGGGTCTTTTAGAGGTCACTTATTCACAAGTTACCACAAGCTAGAAATGACTTGATGGAAAAATCTCTAGGAGATCCAGAGATGAACTGTAAATTGACATGGAGGAGGATGCTAGACATATTTTTAAAACTATTTTGATTTTTGTTGTGATCAGATTCAAGAAGTTTGACAACAGATTCCTGAGGAAGGTCCTACTACACAAGCAGCAACCTCAGTCCAGCCTTGTCTCCCTGTATAAGAAATTGGAAATAAAACAAGTTATTGAGATGGTAGAAAGTGGGGCAGTGACTCCAGCAACCTCCAAATCATCCTCTTTGTGAGTATTTCATTTTAGCTGTCAGCTATTTCTTTCTTAACACCTAAGAAAAAGTTACATGGGAGATAGAGGGAAAGTTGAAATCCATGTTTTTTTTTCTTGCAGGAGTAGCAAGGTAAAGGTTCTTTGTGGCACTGCAGTGTGTGTGTGTGTGTGTGTGTGTGTGTGTTGCTTTTGCTATGCAGTAGAAGTCCAGAGACTCACAGAGAATAGCTTCAAGTTCTCCAGATAGTCCACCCTTTTTTCGTTAACTGACACTTAAAGTCTCTGTAACTCACTCTGAGACATTTGTAGAAGAAAGAATTAAAGTTTCATTACTTAGTTGTGAACAGTTCCAGCATTCCATTTATATGAAAAGGGGAGGAGAGTTATTAAATGAATGAGTGAATGAACAACTTTCTAGATAATCATATCATCCCATGCCAATTGGGCTGGAAAAAAAACCCCAATGCTTCCCTCTCTACTCAAGTAAGATCTTTGCATCCTTTGAACCTGTCAGAACCTAAGTAACATCTTTTGAGCATGTGTGTTTGTTGAAGCAGACATATAGACTAAAAATAAAATAAAATGAAGAGTTCTTGATACAGTAGTTTGGGATGGGAATGGGAATTGACTTGTTATCCATAAAAAATTCAGCTAGTTAAGTAATCTATCAGAAATATTTTCTTTCATGGATTCAGCCATATTTCTTACAAGAAGCTCTATAAAAACAAAACATAAAACAAAAAGATCACAATAGGCAACAGCTGGAGGAGCTGCAAATGCAGTCTTATACCTAGCAAAGTCTATCAACTGGAGATGATCGAGGGGCTCTTTCGTGTGACTGTGTTGTGAGCAGGGCGGGGCTCCCGGATGGTAAATTTTAGTAGCCAAATTAGTAACTTTTCCATGCCCCTGGTCATCATGACTAACCAAGGAACTGAAAAGTGAGTCACAATGCAGGCTTGGAAAAGTTGCTGTTGGGGACTACAGCTCCCAGAATTCCTTGGCTATTTGCCATTCCATGGTTTGGCTAATTAAATTGCCTTGATTTCAGGAGCATCCAGGTATGCCAATATTGCTTTGGAATTAACCCAGTATCATCTGATCCTACAACATGTAGGATTAGAAGGCATGTTTAGCCTTGAGAAAAGAAGACTGAGGAGAGATATGGTAGCATTTTCAAAATACTTGAAAGACTGTCATACGAAAGTGGGTCAGGATCTGTTCTCAATCATCCCAGAATGCAGGACACGTTATAATGGGCTCAAGCTACAGGAAGCCAGATTTAGGCGGTTTATCAGCAAAAACTTATTAATTGTTAGAGCAATGTGACAATGGAACCAATTACCTTAGGGAATGGTGAGTACTCCAACGCTGTAGGCATTCAAGAGAAAATTAGACAACCATCTGTCAGATATAATTTGATTTGGATTCCTGCATTGAGCAGGAGGTTGGATGGCTCGATGGCTTTATGGGCCCCTTCCAACTCCGCTATTCTATGATTCTACGTGTTGAATGGGAACTGGATTAAGTCTCACCAGGGATGTTGGCAAGTCTTTGCGTCTGAGTCTCAAGTTTAAGTCCAAGTCTTTGGTACCAAGTCCCAAGCCTCAAGTCTGAATCTCAAGTCCCTATTTGAAAGCTTTACATTTTGTAGAAATTTGTCTTTAATTAACAAGTTTTTAAGGCCCATCACCTCCTCCCAAACAGCCCCTTTTCTCTCTCCCTCCTCTTTTTGCCCAAAATTTTTTTCTTGTGATTTTGTTTGGATATGTTTGAACCAACCAACCTGGCTATTTCTTTGAAAACAATCTATACCGTCTTTACTTGCACCAGGGATTTAAATTCACACTTGTCCTGTCCTCACAGTCAGGATTTGCCTTCTCCTTTCCCTCTTTGCCCTGCATGAGTGCGAAATGTTTTCTGCTACTAGTAACTTGACAGTTTTGTGTTGACAAAAGTTGTAGAAAATTGGGGTGGCTGCTGCTGTGCTTCAGAAAAACCTGCAGCATCAAATGGGTTCTTTGCATCTTTGTGAACAACCAGGTAGCTCACTCGCTCTCTGTGTGTGTCTCTGTGTGCTTTCCTTCTTAAACAGAGTAGTTCTGCACAGAGGAATTTTGTGTTGGTTGCATAAACCTTGAGAAGGGTTTTTGACCCTCCACTTCTTATCCCACTTCTTTGGTGGAGATGAAAAATCTTGTGGGCATGAACATTCATCATGTAAGATACCTCATATGTATGAGGACTTTCATGATTACTCTTTCCACATCTAGCTTGCCCCTGGATACATCCAGATATATAGAAGTGTAATGTTCTGATAGGACAGCGGTGGGCAAATTTTAGTCAGACTCAGGGCCATTTCCCCTCACATGTGGACCCATCCTAGGGCTCACCATTTCCTCTAGAAAAATCAGGAATGACAAGAAGATTCCCTCTGCCTTTAATTTTATTTTTCCAGCTAAAGAAAGTTGCAGAGGTCAAAGAATCCTTGAGGCTTCTGGAGGCCAGGTTCATCCACACTTCCATTTCCCTCAAAAACTATTTGGGAATGAATGAAACAGCTCCAGGTCCCACAAAAATCCCTTCACAGCCTACATGCTCTTTGTCTCACCTCTGAAATAGATTATGAGAATAAAAAAATCAATATACAGGGGTCCGTATGAGGCAGCTGATTCCCAGCATTTATTTTTTAATTTTTTTAATTTTTGAAATTAGTCTTATGATTTAGGTCTCTGAGCAAACATGCACTTTGACGAGGCTGGTCCTTCCATGGACATATGGCAATGCTAGATAAAGCCATTTTGCAGGGATAGCTTTAAACAATTTGAAAAAAAAAGGTATAATAAAATCTGAGAATTGCAATTGCTATATACCTATAAGGTCCTCCGTTTCTCCTTCCCATCTTCTGATGGCTACCAAAGCATATTCTGAAACAAGTTCTATTGTTAAAAGAAAAATATATATATACTGTAATAGGATGCAATAGAATCAAAGTAAGAATGGTTTGTTAGGAAACACTTCAAAAGAAACCAGAGGATGTTATCACTGAAGCAATTTTTCATTGTGTAAATATAAGGCCTGCACCAAGCCGTTTAATGCTAGACCATAATGATTAAAGAAAGGATTCCAATTACTTTTTTAAAAAAAATATTGTTGTTGACACGACTGGTTTATTTTACTTGGAAACAGATTTGTATCATAAGCTGTGTAGCTTTGAAACACAACTGTAAAAGAAGAGGACAAGATTTATTCAACAGAAACTGTGTTGATTCTCCCTTTAAGAGATATGTGCCTTGTTAACAAGTTGCCTGGTTAATAGCTAACTTCATGAAAAGAGTTTCCGCCTCCCTCCTTCCATGTTCTAGCCTCATGACAACTTATATTCATAATGCTTATGGAGTTGCTAATTGTTCCCATGAAGCCTGAGGGTATTTTAATAGCAATGTCCAGAGAATGAGTGGATCTAACAATTTATGCACTATGGCTTCTTTTATACAAGAGTGGTCCAGACCTACCCTTTTATACACAGGCGCGGTTTGCTAGTCTCAGTATGTCCTGCACCAGTTTTTAATGATCATGATAGCTAGACAAAATGTCTACATAACTGCTTTTGGTTATTTCAGTGATCACCAAATTCACATGATACATTAAGTTTATCAGTGATTGCTTTGTAATGGCTATATCAGAAGCTAAGTGAGGCTGAATCTCTCTCATCTTGATGAGAGACTGCCTGGAAATTGTTTGTGAATTTCCTTGAGTATCAAGAAGCAAAGTGGTATACAGAGGGCACAAATAAACAAACGTAAAATGTGTTTTGCACAATCAGTTCTGCACACCAGATGTGTCCGTCTGTATTGCCTGGCATCAAATACAACTGTTGAAAGGTGCATATACTTCGCTGTCTCACTGTTTGCAGCAATACAGTACCAGGGTAAGTTCTATTGTGATATAGAAAAGGAGCTTGTAACCATGAGAAATGTTAAAATCAGCCCTGTGCAGACTGGCTAAGCATACTGTACAACCACATTGATTTTTTAAAAATGGGGGGGGGGGAGTTCCAGGATTGGAATGAGCTAATTCATTTTTTTTGAAATGTTGACCATATAAGGCAAAAGGAAATATGAATCAGCCCAGAGTCATCACTAGCGAAAAATACGGTAATTCATTTTTTTTTGAAATGTTGACCATATAAGGCGAAAGGAAATATGAATCAGCCCAGAGTCACCACCAACACACGTGTAATTTTTGCCTCTGCCACTTCTACTTTTTTTTAAAGAAAAATAGATCCATTTGCAGCAGTTCAGACAATGTGATCACTTGAATCAATGCAGAAAAGCTGCTGTGCCAGCACCCTCTCATGGGAACAGAGAGTAAAATCTCTCTCCATTGCCAAGACTTTTCTTTAAAAAAAAAATAGATAACGAGACAAGGAAACTAGAGGAGAAAACTCTTGATTACAGCTTATTAGGTTGTTCCCTTGCCAATGTTCCCCATATAGGGCTATACTAGAGCTCCAAACAAGCTGCAGACAAGGTTTCCTTCCTCCTTCCTTGTGTGGCCAGTTAATGAGAACAGACCAGGGAAACCCAATTTCTCTCATTCAACTTCACAGTGAGTGAATGCAAATGAATTTACATTTCCCTCACTGTGCAGTCACACCATAACTAAATGAAAAGTTTTATCACTCTGAATATGTCGGCAGCTGGTTTTGTGAAAAGAAATATTTTCTATGTGAACTGTAGACACTACACATGTGGATTTTATCAGGCGTAGAAAAGTTAGTTTTTTAAGAGAATTTTCACAAGCCCATGTCTCTTGCTGCACGATTCTGGGAACTGTAGTTCAAAATGTAACTTTTGCAAGTGTTGGAACTTTATATAGATGTCTATTTTTAATTTTATAATTTTGAAATATGTTTTGTGTTGCAGTTGCTCCATCGATTTATCTAATAACAGTAAAAGCATATAATTATGCATTGCCATCTTCACACACAATTGCATACTACAAAGGGATAAACGGCATAGCATTTTGATTTAAGGATTAATCTTCACTCTGCTTTCTTAGACGTCATTTAATATACACCTATAATAGGGTGTACGTACCTAGAACTGCTGGATAGAAATAATTGTTGATCTTTTGATGTAGTTGGTGTAATGTTTGCCTTTCTTTCTGTTTGCAGGAGGCATAGAAAGCAAAGAGTGCATAGACTTTCCCCTGAAGAGGTGGCGTCCATGCAGGCCATACTGGCACACAATCTGTATCAAGTGAGACAAAGGGTGTGTGCGTGTGTTTTTAATTTAAGTAACATATTTCATAAAGTTAGAAGAAAAGCTTATGTTTGCACTGTTGAACACCTCGACAGCAATCTGGAGCAACTAAATTGAAGCATCATTATTGACCATAGGCTAACATATGTGATTGAGCCTCAGCAACACAATAGCAGTATAGAAAAGCATGGACTTGAAACCATAGTGACTATGTTCTTCATTTCTGTTTGTGACTGTTTTTTAGTGCTGCCCCAAATTCAATATTTGCATTTGCTGTACTTACTCCACAGCCCTGCTGCACGAAAGGGAAAAAAAGAGTTTCTTTCAGGGGCTATAACTTCTAGAATAACCCGTGCCACCTACCAGATGAATCTGTAGTTATAGTTCTAAATAGTGACTTTTAAAAACAGTGAGAAAGAAGACACCAGTCTTTACATTTATTGTGACCCCCTGCCACACAAAAAAAGAAGGCAGTAGGCAGGAGGGAGATTCCAGAGACAAGCACTAGGGGGCAGACGTCCCTTGCTGAAGAGACAAGCCTGGAATGGTTTCCACATGAGCTGTTGCACCAAAACCCACAAAGAAGCTTGTGGTACTTTAAAGGCCAAAGAAATATATGTGTGAACAGCTTAAACTCTCAGGGAGCTGAGGTTGTAACCCGCAAAGCCCTTTCCTGTAAGGAATTTGTTTGCCTTTAAGGTGCCTCAGCAAGAATTGCTGTGGTCTTTGGTTGTAATGCATCCCAACCGGCTTACAAAAGAAGTTAGTTTCAACTTTTCAAACCTTGTTTTAAGCACATAGAAACCGTCGTTTGTCGTAGCTGTAGAAAGCATTCATGGACAAGGAATAGGAAATTGCAGACCATGATGTGTAATGTTGGGCTCTATTTATATATTTATTTTGGCCACCAACAGAAGAAAAGTTGCTGAATGAATAACCTGTAGCTTACGTATAGGAAGCAGTCTGAGAGGTGGGGAGTTCAATTCCTCGCTGTGCCTCCTCTTCGAACAGCCAGTCTGTCTAGCCTTGGGCAAGTTGCACAGTCGAAGAGTGCCCCCGGAAGAAGAGAATGAGAAACCTCTCCCAATGTAGAAAATCTTGGAAAGGGTTGTCATAGGTCAGAACTGCACATCTGTTTTTACCTGAAGGTGATGTATTCCCTGCTATATCTTAATAATCTGTGACAATATAAACAGACCTCGGCGGGGGATGCACACACACACACCTCCCTCATATATTCTGGTGACCCTGTACCCCCACACCTTTTTTTTCTATTAGAAATTATTTTAGCTTTTGTTTTTATTTTACTTGCTGGTGTTCTGTAGTGGCCCAAAATATGTTTTAAATTGATTGTATACTCGAGAACAGAAAGTTTGCCTGTGGGGTGGTAATTTCCCCCCACTGACCATATGACACAGAGCAGGATTTGATCAGATAAGCATCTTTCCCTGTCCCTTCTGTGCTTTCCCCCTCTAACCTGTGGCACTCCCCAAGCTTGCTTATGCTTTCGTCATGTGTGCCAGTGGTGCTGTCTGGCTGCTGAAGGACCCACCATTGAAGAACCATAGAACAGGCAAATATGCACATTAATTTGTTCCTTGTGTGTGGAGGAGAAATCAAAGAAAACTCTTTTTTTCCCCCAGACTCTGTCGTACAACAGGTACAACCTTTCTGCAGATACAACTGAGGAACAAGCCAAAGAAATCCTGATCCGGCGCCAGCAAAGCCTGAGGCAGACTGTGAGGAAAGGGTGCAGCTTACCACGGGGAGGGCAGGTACCACTTACACAAGCAGGGCTTGTCTCCATATTCATGTTTTTTTTTAATCCATGTTTTTTTCTTGAAGGAGTAGCAAGGTGAAGGTTCTTTGTGGCATTGCAGTGTGTGTGTGTGTGTGTGTGTGTGTGTGTGTGTGTGTGTGTGTGTGTGTGTGTGTGTGTGTAGAGAACTCATTCTGCCCACCATTTTCTTCTTCAGAGTTAACAATGAGTGCTGTGCTTTATTTTAGCAAATGAAGCTTGTTCTGGAAAGCCTGTAAAAATAATTCTTTTTTAGAAAGTTGAAACATTGACTGAAATCCAATAGTAAGTTACAATGAGAGTAGACCTAATGAATCAATGGAACTTACATAGATGTTGATTCACAAAATCCCTGCTGACTCAATGGGCCAACTCTAGTTTCAATTTCAGTCATATTTGAATCTTAGGAGCAGTGGATATACCTCTATCTCTAATATTTGAGACATTTATGTATTTCATCTTTTGCAAGATTTCAAATATCAAGCAGGGGTAAGCAAATGCTGAAGGTTTAGGGGGCTGATTTTTAGCCTCCAGGTCACACCACAGACTGTATGGATCCCCAGAGAGGCAGTCGTCCCCATGAAAAAATGAAACTGGAAATGGAAAGATGTCCACTTCTCTTTCCCAGCACCAATTTTGGGGGCTGAATCAAGGGGCAAGGGGCCCTGCTATGGGTTTCAGTGGAGAGTGATAGAGGGGCATTTGTGCAGGGCTTTACACCTTGCTTTCAAGAAGATCTACTACTTCCAAAGGGGAAGGACTGGAACTTCTCATGGGTTGGGCTGTCCTATCATTGGCCCTGGGAAAGTTCTCTCTCTCTTTTTACCCACAGATCTTTGGATCTGCCACCTAACATGGCCCTTGGGGGTTGTAGTCCAAAAAACTAATGTTTTTCAGGCTCTGCCTGTTCACTGCTGGCTTCAGCCCTATCTATTGCTGACATTTGGGCCATCACTCATTACTTCAGAGTAAATATGGCCCATGGCAGGAAAAGGGATGTGTCTACCCCAGCCGAAGGGGCTGGATTTTATAGATGCAGTGTGAATTTCTGCCTTGTAAGTGGCCAAGCCCAGTTAGCAGGAGTGGAACATCTTCCAGCTCTTTATAACCTAAAGAGGCTGCCATGATTAGTGATTCTTTTCCCCTTGAAATAAATGAGGCTTCAAAATATTGGTTCAACCTGAAGTCCCTTTATTTCAGGGAATGGAGTTCTGACATGTAGAACAAATGGTCAATTAAAAGTAAGGTATCTTTTCCAGTCTGATCATTTGCTGTGTTCTTTTTTCTTTATAAACCTGGTCTTCCACTACTGTTCTGACCTCTCTTTGAAACTTGAAAGCACCTGCACTCCTCCCTCCTTTACTTTACTTTATGTGGACTTATACCCCGCCCCTCTAGACAAAGTCTACTCGGGGCGGCTTACAGGAGTAATAAAATACAATAAAATAAAATACGATACAATAAGATACATTATAATAAAACCTACTAACAGGTGCATATATAGATTATCAAGATAATTGAGAAAGATCAATTAAAAGTAAGGTATCTTTTCCAGTCTGATCATTTGCTGTGTTCTTTTTTCTTTATAAACCTGGTCTTCCACTACTGTTCTGACCTCTCTTTGAAACTTGAAAGCACCTGTACTCCTCCCTCCTTTACTTTACTTTACTTTATTTGGACTTATAGCCCGCCCCTCTAGACAAAGTCTACTCGGAACAGCTTACAGCAGTAATAAAATACAATCAAATAAAATATGATACAATAAGATACATTATAATAAAACCTACTAACAGGTGCATATATAGATTATCAAGATAATTGAGAAAGATCAATTAATTGACTGGACGGAAGGCCTGCCTAAAGAGCCAAGTTTATAAATGGCTTTTAAAAATGCCCAGCGATGGAGCCAGGGGGGATTTCCATTGGGAGAGTGTTCCACAACCAAGGGGCCACCACCGAGAAGGCCCGGTTTCTTGTTCTTTCCTTCCGGGCCTCTCTCGACATAAGGCCCCTCAGCCGTCCCTGCTGGCTTTGTCGAGTGATTCGGGTAGACCTGGGTGGGAGAAGGCGATCTGCCAGGTATCGAGGTCCCAAACCGTTTAGGGCTTTATACATCATCATTAAAACTTTGAAATCAATGCGGAAACGAATGGGCAACCAGTGCAAAGCAGCCAGAATGGGAGAGATATGCTGGGATTTTCTTGTTCCACTAAGTAGCCTGGCTGCCACATTTTGCACCATTTGAAGTTTCCACATCAATCCCAAAGGCAGCCCCACATAGAGTGCATTACAATGGTCTAATCTCAAGATTACAAGTGCATGGACAAGAGTAGTGAGGAAACCCCCCCCCCATCAAGATATGGTCACAGCTGGGCAATCTGCCATAGGTCGGTCTCCATGGTAAGTGCTGGGTCCAGATGTTTCCCCAAGCTGCGAACCTTGCTCTTTGCGGTGAGGGTCGACCCCCCCAAAAGAAAGGGAGTCACCCAAACCGCTGATGGAAGGACCACCCACACTCAAGACCTCCGTCTTGTCCGGGTTCTGCCTTTGTAGCAATATGTTATATATGTCTCTTGTAGCTACAAAGGCAGAAGCTCAGGAAAATAAATTCACAGAAAAGTTAGGCTCACACCCCCCCAAAAGAAAGGGAGTCACCCAAACCGCTGATGGAAGGACCACCCACACTCAAGCCCTCCGTCTTGTCCGGGTTCTGCCTTTGTAGTAATATGTTATATATGTCTCCTGTAGCTACAAAGGCAGAAGCTCAGGAAAGTAAATTCTCATAAAAATTAGGCTCACTATAATAGAGATGTGAACTATTCCAAGTAGGTGTTATTCCTTGCAATCTGTTTTCCCAAGCCAGAGGCGTGGATTCTTGCCAAAGTGTCTTACCTGTTCTCTCTAATTGGGGGATGACCTCATTTGTTTCTGCTTGTTATAATTAGCAAGCTCCAATTAGCCAGCTCCAATGGTGTTTGTAGACTGTAGCCCTGTGCATGGTTACTTTGCCCACAATCACAGCAGTTTATAAATTATGCCATACCTGTTGATGCAAACTTGAAGGTCATGTTCTTCCCCTTTCATTCCCGTGTGCACTTTCCACTTTCATTCTTGAAAAAGTGACCAGATGCTTCCTACTCCAATCTGGCTCTGTAGCCAATCTCTACTCTCATGCGTATCATATTCTGATATACCATATTCTGAAGATCTCTCACACATATTTTTAAATACTTGTGGTTCTATAACAGAAGTATTATTTGGAAATGTTTTAGCATGACTTGCTCAACCCATTTCCTGGAGCTTTGTATAGGAGGGATCCACTCATCTGAGGCTTGAGGAAAATCTTCTTTGTTATCTACCCAGAACTCAGAAGCGCACTGATCAGGCAAACCACAAAACAATAGGGACGTGGCAGGAGACAGATTAAATACTTGTGGTTCTATAACAGAAGTATTATTTGGAAATGTTTTAGCATGACTTGCTCAACCCATTTCCTGGAGCTTTGTATAGGAGGGATCCACTCATCTGAGGCTTGAGGAAAATCTTCTTTGTTATCTACCCAGAACTCAGAAGCGCACTGATCAGGCAAACCACAAAACAATAGGGATGTGGTAGGAGACAGAAGTACCTGGTACAACTCACAATCCATGCACTGCATGTACACCTTCAAAACTATATATGCATTATAGACTTTTTCTGCAAAATTCTCAAAGTAGCCAATACATATGTACAAATTTCTGGTTAAACACAATATATAAATATGCATTTACATAATTTGATTTCCATTTCACCTTTCTCTCAGAAACTGGGACCCAAGGTATTTTGCACCACCATTTTTTAAATAAACAAACAAGCGGTTAAAAAACAATGACTGAAAGCCTATTGAAGTTGGCATAAGGCAAGTGTGCTGGGATTACACCCAGACAGGCAGCATTGCACAATTTGATTGTACAATCGATTACATACTTCATGTCATGACTTGCTTGAGAAACCTGGAGAAGTGCTGTGTGGATGTTACTTCTGTCCTGCCATGATTTTTTCCTACTGCATCTGCATTATGTGATTTTTTTCCCATACCGCATCTGCATCGCTGTGGAACAGGATTTCAAGCAATATGTTATATATGTCAAAACAGAACTAAATGAGTTTTGAGCCTTGAAAGCAGAACATGAGGCTGTCTCTGGGTCCCTGCCTCTGAAGGTGGTGGCACCTAGAGAAGGTCTTTTCTTATAGATCTTAGCGGGTGAGTGGGCTTCTGAGGGAGGAATAGCTTTCAGGTAGGTGCATCTCACCCTGTCCAACATCTCTTTGTCCACAGGCTTCCACTAAGACTGTACGTTATTTGTCATTACCTTTCGGCTATGCTGGACACACTAGGAGAGAAGCTAGGAATGATGAAAATGGCTCAGGTAATGGTTTTGGATTAAATTTAGCCAATTGTTCCTACTTGGCATTACAGTTGGCGATACTTAAGAGGCTGCAAATGTTCATTTCCAGTAAAAATGATTTTGAATCCGGGATGGATGACTCTTGCTCAATAGGATTGCACCCACTGGAATCCTGAGCTCATTACTTTCATTTGAGAAATACACTCTAGATTGAGAGGAAGGGAAAGTGCCATTGCAATGGTTACAGTCACACATCATGCGTGCAAATACAAAACCAAAACTTTTGTGCAATTTTAGTATTTTGAAACTGTGGAGGATTCGTTTTCAGCCTTTACAGGTTTGGCTGGGCCTTTAGCCCAAGGATATGTTAAAGAGGTGTTCTTAACTATTATTATTTCTACCATACATACATATCTATTAGTTGATGGTATAACTCAGGCTCAGTTAGGTACCACCCAATTGTCGATCCCTGTGCATGGTCCAGTGGATTGCATACCAAGGTATGAAAACAAGATAGCCCTGCTATAAGAGCACAGAATGGCTCCTTACAACAAATCAAATCATTGATTCATCTAGTACTGTCTTCACTGATAGGCATCAACTCTCCAGGGTTTATTTCTGAGTTCCACTTGGACATAGCAGAATTGGACCTCCCAGACTTTTTCAAGTTACTTAAAAAAACCAAAAGCAAATAAAAAGACAAGCTAGAGCCATCCATAACTAGTGTCATCCTACCATTGCTCAGTTATGGTTGCTCCAGTATGTCCTTATCCTCATGCTATGTTGTTTAAAAGATCTATTTGTATTATTATATTCCTTTTTCTTACACTCTTAAAAGTACCTTGCTCAGCTCTGGGGGTCTGGGATCTTCAATATGCAAAGGCTGCGCTCTTTCACTTGAGCTGCAGCTTTTCCCAAACCTCAGTGACCAGCATTTACTGTGCCAAAGGATACAGGCTGCTTTGGAACATTCTGTGTATTGATCATAAGATCCTGTAATGGTGAAAGTCTCATTCTCTGGCACAACAAAGCTTCTTGAAGGGCCCTGGGGCTAAAATTCTTTGGACCCGGATTTTTTAAACACTTTGGTAATTACAGGTGCTGTGAAACCCATCCTGTTTGTTTTTAATAGCAACCGAAACAAGTGGCTAATTACAGACCTGCCTGTCTTGGATGTTTTGCTCTTTGCTGTTTAGCCCTTGGCTTTTCTAATGCCGAAAATACTTGATAAAAAGAATTGCAACATTGGAAAACAGGTGGCGAACTAGTGCAGCACCATGTGATCTGCCTAACGGCAGCAGGGAACCTTGGAGGAATGCAGGTCTGGTGGAAGAGAGAAGAACCCTAAACAAATACTGAGGTCTGCAGAAAAGGGGAGAAAAAGATGGTGCTGAGAAAACTGGGGAAAAAGAAGTGGCAGAATCAGTAGAACAGGCAATGACAGGCAATGAAGGATATGTTGTGTTGAGATGGGTTAAAAATAGTTCCCCCTCTGGTAGATTTTTATTTTTATTATATATTTGAAAAGGCGGTTCTGATGAAGAATTTCAAATCCCTTTCCACTCAGCTCCAGGAAACATTGTACTTTCCTGATGATCAGTTTCTTTATTACACTATTTTATAACCAGAGCTTGAACAGTAAAATTAAAAGTAACTCATTAATGTTAATTTCATTACTTTCCCAATCAAACACAAAGTAGAACATTAGATTATCTAACATAGTTTGCTGTAATGCTTTAAAAGAAACATTGACACCTTGTTCTATGCTTCAAAACAATGGGTGTGTGTCCTCAGACCTCCTCAGAAAGCCCCCCCCCTTTTCCCCATGAGAACCAGCTCTGTACAAGTGATTCTAACCTTGGCACTTCAGATGTCACTGGACCACAACTCACAGAATCCCTGACCAGTACAGTGAATGGGCAGAGCTTCTAGAAGCCATATTCAGGAATTTTATAGCTGGGAACCCCAGATTTTCAAAGAATTGGTGGTTCTCCTTCCTGGCCTCTGTGGATCACACTGTGGGTGATCTGCGCCTGCATGGAGCCTCTTCAGAATATTCTAGAGTTTCTGTGGTAACAAAAAACACATTTGCTCCCCTTGGTATAAGTACCTTGGTGCCAGGACTCTCCCGTCAGTTTCTTTCAACTGCTGCATTGAAGAGCCTCGTATGTCTATCTTCTGTGCATCTGAAAGTGAAACAAGTCCTTTTTACTGCTGAACTTATAAATCTTTTTCTCTTTATTAGTATTCAAAAATACATATACTGTTTTTAGTTTTCCCCCTCTGTGCCTCGGCCTCAGGCCGTCGCACCTCCCTTCCCCTCCCTCCCTCTGATTTTTTTTCCTCTTTATTGTCCATGGCCCCTTTGGGCCCATTCAAGCACTGCGTGATTTGCGATAACAAGATCCTACTATCGGATGGTCACGTAAAGTCCTTTTTTTGTTTAGGTGAGGCACATCAAAGCTCCTATTGCCCTCATTGTAAAAATTTCACCTATCTCGACTCAAACTCTGCCTCTGGGAACAGTCTTTGCAACGGGCAAAACTTATGGCTCAAACTGAGTGTAAAACCACCTCACAGGCCAATGCCATGGAAAAAGCCGTTCTAGAATCATCGAAACATCATTCCTCCGCTACTCCATCTCACTCTTTCCACTTCATCGAAAGCCTCTAAGATGCACAGACCTAAACAGCCGCCATCAAAAACTTTGACATCGAAGCCTTCCAAAAAGTGAAAGTCTCCTCCCGATCCGGTTCTCAGTTCCCCACAACTGAAATGGTCTAAACAAACCAAATCAAAGACCCTGGCAGTCCCTCCACAGCAGGTTTCTGAACCTGGCAATTTAATTTATGTAGTTTTATGAAGGACTCCCATCTCATCAATCGGTTTCTCAACCACCAACATGGGACGAGTGAGTAGACCATCTTACTTCCTCACCTAATAGTCCCCAGCATTCTGCCTCTCTTCCTAATCAATCCACTGAGGCCTCCCCAGAGAGAGAGGTACCTGAGCCTCAGCCAGACACAGTGCCCTATTCTATGCCATTGGGCCAGCCTACATGGCCACTGGTGCACTATCAGGCACATCCAGCATATGAGGCAATTCCACAAGTGTGTGTCGATCAATCCTGCACACAGCACTCTCATCAGCTCATCAGGTAGACATTTGCCCTGATCAGTGCTTCTCTAACCTGCCGGCTGCAGAAGCTCAACCAGCTGCCTCCTTCGGTTCAGTATTAGCATCTTGTCAGAAACCTCCATCTTGACAACCTTCTGTGTTGAAGAGGCCTTATCATTCAGAGGCACGCAGCCATCATATGACTCTTTGTCAACCACCAATGAAAATCAGGGCAGTTGAGAAACACGTTTCCACCCACAATGAAAATCAGGGCAGTTGAGAAACACGCCCGTGAAGCCCCTGTGACTACATATTTTCCAGGTCAAAATGATGGAAATCACTCTTCTTGCTTGGCATCCCCAACCTCGATTTACTCTACAGACTTACCTATGTGTCCACCAAATCGGCCTCAGCTGCCTTTTTGACACTATAAACACACTGGTTCCGATATCGACTTGCTTGGCATCCCCAGCCTCGATTTACTCTTTGACACTATAAACACACTGGTTCTGATATCGATGACCCTTGATATCCATCCTGGTCCATGGATGCCCCACTTTGATCTTTCTTGGTTGCTAGCCCTCAACAGTGGCACCAAACTAGACATGCAGCCCATCAATATCGAGATGCAGACTTCAACACCGAGATCCCATCTAGTTCACCTTCGACATCGATACCGGTCGACAACTCTCAACGTTGACAAATGTCCATGGTCATGCCACACTCTTCAGTGGTAGACCACCATCAACATTGCTATGATCGACCTTCTCTCGACACCAAGGTTGATTGACATTCTATCAACTCCAGGCTCAATCCCAAGGTCTCAGAACATGGTTCTCAACCACAATCTCCATCTGTGCTTCTCACATCACCAGATTCTGACCTCGTAGATGTAGATCCTCCATCCCCAGTAGAGGATTTCCAAACTTACGTTCAACTCATGATCCGCATGGCTAAGTCATTGGATCTTCAAATCCATCACCCCACAACCAAACCGGCAGATCACCTTTATGATCCTATTTCTAAGGACACAACTACCCCAGTCCATATTTCCATGCTACCATCTCTTCTTAGCACTGCTCAGCAATCTTGGACTAAACCAGCCTCCTCTCACTCAGAAAAGAATCAATAATCTCTATCGGATACACTACCCTGGAGCACTTTTTCTCCAGAAACAGCCGGCCCCAAATTGGATATTTGTTGAGGCCTCCCAATCACAGTCTCAACACCGACCATCCTTTATCCCACCTAACAAAGACAGTCGAAGAATCGACTCTATGGGCAGGTGGCTTTACTCATCAGTGGCTTTACTATGAGGGTAGCTAACTACCAAGGGGCTATGGGGGCATATCAAAGCTTCCTTTGGGATAACATGGCCACTTTTCTTGACTCTTTACCAGAAGACAAGAAAGTATTAGCACAAACCTTCCAACAGGAGGGTCTCTCTGTCGCCAAACAGCAAATGTTCTCTGCCAAACACATGGTAGAAGCCCCGGCTAAATCTATGGCTACTTCTGTCATACTCAGACCTTTCTCCTGGCTAAGAACAGCTGGCCTCATGGAAAATGCCCGAGCACATATTGAAGACCTCCCATTTGATGGCACTGGTCTCCTTAATGCTGAACCTGATGACATTAGAAAATGTTCAGAAGAAACATTCTGCTGCCAAAAGATGGGGCATCTACCCCACTTATCAACAGCTCCCCAATGCAATCAATGGAGGTGATCTTACAATTCCTACCAGAGGTTCCAACATGAATCCCAGCATCAGAACCTCTACACACCATACTTTAAACAACAAAAATACAAACAAATACCTCACCAGGAACCTATCCAAAAGTGCAATGACTGCAAATCCATCATGTTTGACGTTTTCCCGACCGAGATAGCAAATCAACCCCCTTTCCTCTAGAAACACTTACCTGCCTGGCAGTCCATCATCACCGACACCTGGGTTCTTTCCATTGTCCAAAACGGATACTGCATCCATTTCCATCAACTCTCTTCATCGCATCACATCATCACTCCACCGTTCCAAACTCTACAAGAAGAGATAAAAAATTTAGTCAGCAAGGATGCAATAGAACCTATACAACAAAACAACAACAGTTTTTTGTCTCGTTATTTCACCGTCCCCAAAAAGATGGAGGTTTATGACTTATTCTAGACCTCAGAGATCTCAATCAATAAAGATCTCACCACAAAATTCCGTATGATAACCCTCGAATCAATTCTACCTCTTCTCAGAAAAAATGACTGGTTCACAGTCATAGATCTATGAGATGCATACTTCCACATCTCCATCCACCCCTCGCACAGACAGTTTCTTTGATTCCAACTTGGGCCCCAAGCTTACCAATTCAATATACTTCCTTTTGAACTCGCAACAGCTCCCAGAGTTTTCACCAAGTGCATGGCCCCAGTGGCTGCTTTTCTCAGACTTCAAAAGATCCTCGTCTTCCCATACATAGACGACTGGCTCCTTGTAGCTTGTTCCCGCCATGAAGCTTGCTAAGACACCCTTTTCCCTTCTTTGCAATCTTGGTCTCACGGTCAACATGCAAAAATCCAAAATGAGCCCTACAAGGATTATTCATTGTATCAGGGCTTCCATAGACTCCACTTGAGCTCATGCATTTCTCCCACTCGACAAACAAAAAAACTTCATTTCCCTCCTCCAAGGTTTCACCCCCCGACACCTTGGTTCCTGCCATCCTCGTTCAACGTGTACTAGGCACCATGGCCTTCATGACCTCAGTTGTACAACCTGACGATAAGGTCTCTACAATCGTGTTTTTTCGCACTTTTAGAGTCACTGACAGATCCTCCCAATACACTTTTAAGAGTTACTCCCGAATTCGCCTCACAACTCCAATGGTGGCGCTTCGTCTCAAATCTCTCTATGGGACACCCTTTCCAGCAACCACATCCTCAAATACAAGTCACAACCGACACCAGCCTTACTGGCTGGGGAGCACATTGCAGCTCTCTCAAAATACACGCCAATTGGTCCCGTAGAGAATGTTCACTCCACATCAACGAGTTAGAACTATTAACGGCAATAAAGGCATGCAAAGCATTCAGAAACGTTCTAGCTGGCAAGGTGATTCGGATTGCCACCGACAACTCTACAACCATGTACTATATTCTCAAAGGCCTACAAGTCACCTCCCAAACAATCTCTCACTGGGTTGCCTCTACTATTTCACTTGCGGACCAGCTTGCTCGACAGCTGGTTCCTCAAGCTATTCGCCCTCATTCCACCAGGGCATTGGTGGCCTCTACAGCATTCCTACGTGGTGTGCCTCTCCCCGACATCTGCGCCTCAGCTACGTTGGCACAACCATCTACCTTCATCTGACATTATAGACTAGATGTTCGACAGAAGTTTGATGAGGCATTCGGACATTCTGTTTTGGCTTCCGCCTTGGCGTGACACCTTACCTAGTCACCCACGTTGTGATTCACAGAGGCCACGATGAAGAACGGCAGGTTACTCACCTGTAATTGTAGTTCTTCAAGTCAACCTCTGTGATTCACACATCCAACCCAACCTCCCCTCTGTCATGCCATGCAATATTTTTCTTCTTGTAGCGATTGACACAACTGAATGGAGAGTCCTGGCGCCAAGGTATCCATACTGAGGGGAAGGGGTCTATTCTGATGTAGTTTTTTTGATACTGTAGAAGCTCTAGAATATTCTGTGCAGGCGCAGATCACCTACAGTGTGAATCACAGAGGCCCACCCAAAGAACAACAGATTTACAGGTGAGTAACCTGCCCTCTGCTATTCTTTAGCACAACACTTTAAAAGCTTTGCATGAAATTATTTTTTAATAAAAAGCTGCTTAGCTTCCCCACAGATTTACTCTATAGTAATCACAGCAACCAGGACGTGGTGGCACTGTGGGTTAAACTGCAAAGCCTCTGGGCTGCAAGGTTGAAAGGTCAGCAGTTTGAATCCATGTGATGACGTGAGCTTCTCTTGCTTGTCCCAGCTCCTGCCAACCTAGCACTTCAAAAGCATGTAAAATGAGAGTCGGTAAATAGGTACCACCAAAGTGGGAAGGTAATGGCGTTCCATGTCTAGTCGCGCTGGCCATGTGACCATGGAAACTCTCCATGTACAAGCGCTGGCTCTACAGCTTGGAAACAGGAATGAGCACCGCCCCCTAGACTTGGACATGACTGGACAATTTCCCAAGGGGAACCTTTACCTGTACTTAATCACAGCAACCAACTACTGTCTCTCTCACACCCATTACTTGCTGGGGAGCATCCATGGGACACCCTCACAACCAAAAACTAACTGGTTTCCATACAAATAATCCTAAATGGCTTACTCCTCCACCTTCTGGATTGGCTTCAAACTACATTATTCATGGCAGACAAGAAGCCAGTAGTTCTCAGTTATATGAATGTGGATGTGGTGGGCATTGCAAGAATTAGTCATTGTGATCTATATAGCCTATGGAGTGGTAAGGCTGGAGATAACTTTTCTTACTATATTTTTCAGGCAATCTTTCTATAACAGTGATTCCCAACCTTGGGTCCCCAGATGTTCTTGGACTACAACCCCCAGAAATCCCAGCCAGCACAGCGGGTGGTGAAGGTTTCTGAGAGTTTCAGTCCAACAACTGCTGGGGACCCAAGGTTGGAAACCACTGATCTATAATGTTCTGCTGAAAAAGGGCTCAGAAAAATAGAAACTGATGAGAAAAATTAGCTCTATGTGGAGTTAGTCTTACTGGATGCACATGGATTTCTTTTCCTCTGCAGATGTAGAGACCAGATCTTGCTTTAGGACACAGACCTCTCCCCTTCATAACAGCACCCACCACCACCACATGTGTAGGAACACATCAGTCTAGGGTGGTTGCTGCATGCCTAAAAATCTAAGTGAGGACTTGTTAATTGCCAGCAAGACGTACGTAACTGCAAGTTATGCCATGTGCCTTCTGCAGGCATAACTAGGCAACAAGACTTTGGCCAATAAAGATAGTTTAATGAATTAAATGTCTTAAATTAATTCCCCTGTTTTTAAAGTTTAATGCTCGCTTTGAGAGCTAACGTTTGAAACTTTGATTATTTTTGCTCATTATGAAATTACCTCTTTGTATTTGAGAAGAGAACCTGTATATACAGGTGCAGAAAGAAGTGGAGATATTTTAATTCATTTAAGCATTGTCCAAAGAAATGACAAACAGAAGTTCCCACAGGGTTGCATAACATTGCATGAACTGATTTACATGTATCTATGCAAATGTAGAAATAACTGCTATAATTTAAACAGAAATTGAGTACATCATCTCACCATGGAAGAATGTGACTAATTATTTCTACCTAGTCTATTGTTCATGTTGTAACTACGATGGCAACCTGTTGTTCAACTTTCTTCGGGGCCTTAGTTTGTAAAAACAGATTTGAACCCCACCAGCCCTCAGAAAGTGTCACCAAATGTGTGCCAGGGACATAGACCATCCTATAAGTGACCCTTCTCTTTTGCTCACTGAATAGTAATCACTTATTTCCGAATCTAGGGGACTCCAGGAGTGATTCTGAGACTGATTCACGTACAGAGCCTTGGTCTGGGACCCGCCGATGGAAGTGGCAACAGCAGGAACTCCTTCCAATGAAGCAGCTACATTCAAGAGTTGAGCCAGCAGATCTTACAGGTCAGAAAAGAAGAACTGAGCAGGAGAGAATTGCCAGAAGGCAAGAACCATTGTTACCACCGAAACCACCGCTAAATTCACGGCTTGAAACTGATATCCAGGAAGTTGAATCAGAGAATGATGAGGTGAGCAGCTCGCTATTTCCATCAGTGTCTACCTTTAGAGGGACAACAGAAACCCGAGATGGGCCAAGGAGACATTTTACTGTAAGAAAAAAATGATTGCCCCCACATAAAAATAAACGCTCTTTCCATTCCCTTGCATCATTTCTTCCAGGAAGTTTTTGAGTCATTCAAACTGCCTATTTCATAATTCATAAACTCAGTTTAACAAGTGGATGAACACCTTGATTGCTATGGGTAAAATAAATAAATTTTGGATTCCATTTGCCTGCAAATTGTCTATCACTGGCATTAACTTCTACAGACTCTTTGGGTTGGTCCAATTGTAGAATACTGTTTTATGTTTCTACCTCCTTGTGCATGAAAGCCTTGACTTTGCTATTGTAAAGGTCCAGGTGAGAGAAAGATGAGTGGGAAGTAGTAATTAAATATTTTTTTAATTCACTGGGAGTGAAATTTCTGTGTAATTAAGCACACAATGTTATGTGTTTGATCTGTGAAAAGATGCTTAGTCCTACTGGCACATCTTACATTCAGAGATGTTACTATTTGTCCATGCAGACAATTACCTTAGAGTAGTTTAAAGTGGACTGGTTTCACTCTATAAGCTAACTGCATATCTGGAGCATGAGGAAAGAGGCAATGTGTTAGATCATCCTGACTTCAAACCAGATGTAAATATTCCCATGGCAAGTGCTCAAGGTTTAAGGTGTTGGCCTCATGCTGGGAACTAGAACTTAGGTTTGGCTTTGAGAGAACATGAGGACAGAGGACACTCCCAGTTTATTTGATCTGAACTCATTTTGTCAATTGACACTCAAGGAAACCCACTCAAGCAGCACTCAAATCTTGGAGATGGTCCTGTTTTCTACTCCACAGTTGTCCTCACAGATCAGCACTTCAACAGCAGCAATTATTTCCATTCCCGCCCCCCCGGTCAAGATATGTGTGGGCACTGAGTGTATGAAAAAGAAGAATAATGTATGATTTGTTGTAGGCTATTGCTTCTATAGTTCTGCGATCATATGGACTAAGCAAGGGGTACAAGCATGTGCATCTCCTGATGAATTTTAATTATTTTCCTTGAGTCTGAAGGATGTCCATACCTGCCAACTTCCAACAGAAAATTGCAGCTGATTTCCTGCTCTTTGTAATGAACATCTGTGTGGAACGAACCACTGCAATTTGTGTTAGTTTTGTTACAGTATTCTTGATGATTCTGTAAGACTTCCTGCTTTATGTAGCTGCTAAATGCCTCTTTCAACATTTAATTTATTTATTCATTTATTTATTACATTTATAGCCCGCCCATCTAGTCATATAGACTTCTCGGGGCAGGTAACAACATATCATGTGACAATTTAACAATTTAAAATCATAACAATATATTAGTAAATAAACAATGATCCAAGATGGGAGAAAACACAAAATAACAAAAATTTAAGACACAAGCATAACTCCTGTGACTGTCTCCACACAATGACTGGTGAAATGCAGCATGTTGAAATGGCTCAAATTGCTCTGTGACCTACTACTACTACTACTACTACTACTACTACTACTACTACTACTACTACTACTACTAATAA